GCCCTGGCTTGGGATTTTTATGGGAGCACTGTGCTTCAAGCTATTCTAGAAGAATGGTGCAACCCAGAACTCTGAAGAGGTATGTTTTTTTGCAAGCAGAAAGATTGAAATAAATAAATAAGTAAATGAAAGGAGGGGAGGATGACAGAAATGTCTGGTACCATTTTAATATACCTGCTTCATCCAGATTATGTATTGCAGCAGCTGTGAGGTACTGATCATTGGCTCGAATTATAGTTTGATTGAGGGTGTCATTCAGGATGAATTCGTGTTTGATGATCCTTATAAAGTGGTATGTCGTATTGCTTAGGAAGCTAAAAGGTGCCGACCTGGGCTTGATGATTTCTAAAACCATGATCACAAGTGTAGATTAATGTCTATGTACAAACACAGATGATATACACACTCTAGTACAAGCAGGGAAGATAGTTCTGGAGGGGATATCAGGAATATTCTAATCCAAATGAGGAAGCAAAGAGAAGTGAAATCACCCAGTCAGCAGCAGAATTGGTTTTCTAGGATTATCCTTGTTGTTACTTATGTGCTTCTTTTAAAACTTCAATTCCTCAGGCAATAGTTTCATTGTTTTTAAAAAGACTATTTGCACAACTTTCTCATTGTGTGGGTGTTTCTAACTGACCAGGAAGACTACCAGTATTTCCTATCTATGTGTTCAAATGAATGCACTCTGAGAAAAAAATGAACGCCTTAAAAATAATTATATATGTCACTGAGAGTGCAGATCCACCACATTTCTGCAAAGTGGCACATATCAATAGCGTCACAAATCTTCATGGCTCTGGGAAATTCTAGGAATATATTCTAAGGAAATAAAGGGTGAGAGAAATGAATGTTTATACAGATGTTCATTGTTGCATTGCTTATAATGGTGAAAAATGGGCACTCTAAAATGTCCTCAATACATTGCTAAGTAAGAAAAGCTGGATATAAAGTTGTAAATAGTGTGGTCTTGATAATGTAAGGCATATTTGTTCACATGTAGGTATGTGTATAGCAAAGACTTCAAGGAAACATACCATAGCGCTGGTAGTAGTAAACTCTCACTGGCAATATGAGTGATTTTTATTTTCTTATATATTGTTACATTTTAAAACCTTCTAGGTAAACATGTTATTGCTTAGGTATTATCTTAAAAACAGGAATACTGGGTTTCTAGTTCATGTGGAGGCTTGTACAGTAAAGGCATGGAGGAGAAACCATGATTTTTATACTCAGGTAGAACTGGATTAGATTTGAGGCTCTCCCACTTACAGATGTGTGCCATTGGGCAGTTTACCTATCTCAATGAGCTTAGTTTCCTTTTATGTAAAATGAGAAGGTAGGATTCTTGTGAGGTTTAGACATAATCAGTCATTAATAAGTTAATATTGCTGGTAGTATTCATATAGGTAGTAGTAGTAGTAATAATAATAATAGCTAACATTTATTGGGTTCTTACTATGTACCAAACATTATTCTAGTCCAGAAGTTAGGGAATGTTGACTCATTTAACCTTTATAACAGTCAGGAGGGCCCAGCTAGCTCAGTCTATAAAGCCTGAGACTCTTAATCTTTACAACAATCCAATGAGTGGGGGATTCTGATTATTTCCATTTTACAGTGGAGGAAACTGAATCACCGAAAGATTATGTAACGTGCCCAAGGAGGCATAGTTAGTATGAGAGGAACATAGCTTGTAAGTGGTCTTGTTACTGCTTTCTCCTGAAAGGCTAAAAGTCACATGACCTTTACAATATGGCCAAGAAATAATGGCTGTGAGCAAGTATTCTCAATTCGGGCCACTGCTCGTCTCTCCCTCCTGGAGAAGGATAAAAATTAATTTTCTTTCTATGTAGTTACCAGACGAATGCTTGGTTGTCTTCTTGTTATTCTGACTCCAGGTTTAATTTTCCCCTAAATTCTATTGTCCCTACTTACTTAAAACTGTGAAACAAAGATATTATTGTGCTTGACCCCTTACCTTCCTCTGAGTCGTTGGCGATGGCCTCCAGGTTATCATCAGCGATGGACTGGCTTAAACTCAACCGTCTCTTCTTCAGAACCTTCCCATTGGTTGATACTACCACCATGCTCTGCTTGAAGGACAGCTTGGATGTTTTAGAGATTTCAGAGATACTCAGAGACACAGACTGATCCATGCAGCTTTCGTGGAGTGGGCCATAGCTTACATCATAGAAGGATTTCTATGAGGAAGGAAAACAGAAACTGAGAGGCTGTTCATGGTCAGGGAATGAAAGTCCTTTCAGTAGTGCTGTATTCAACAGATGTAGTGAGGAGGATCTCCATTCTGGTCTTAGGTAACTCATGTTTCATTAGGCTTCCCTCCCTCTCTCCCTTTTGTCTCAACTTCCTTTCTCCTTCCAAGGTAAAAAGATGACTTTTTAGGAAGACTTTTTCATTTATTTGCATGCTCAAAAATGAGATGCTGTAACTAAATAGGTTAACAATGATTGTAGTGAGTGGTAGCTTTCCAATTAGTTCCCTCTCAGGAGGCTAAAAATCTACTTAATGCTCAAAATATTTTAGAAATACTCCTTTGGGGACAGCTTTTAAAGCCAGTACCAAAGACATACCAGGCAGTACTTATACTGTCTATTTGTGATCTCCAAACACAATGACACAGCTTGGTGAGTGGCTGTACATTTCTCGCTTTCAATTGGCTTGCTTCCTCTCCCCCAGCTTCATGTTTGGAGACTTTCTCTAACCTCTGATGCTGGTGTCAGAGAGGGCAACCACAACACATCATGTTAGGAGACAGACCCCGGTGAAGCGGTCTGTGGGGCCTGTCTCAGGATGGCATAACTAACATCCTGATGAAGCCTGCCCCAGGAGACTCCAGTTCTCAGGGATTTGGGATAATTCTGCTCTGTTCTGGGAGAAGCCAATGCACATCAACTTTATAAGGCAGCTGCTCTCGCTTACAATGGAAGACAGGTCTCTGGACCTCTAGTGAGGGTAAAACAAAAGCATTTAAGATTCAAGTCATTGCTGTTCTCTTTTGATGAAGAAACTACTGTGTAAGAATAGCAGTCCCATGAGAATTACAGTCATTTGCTTACCTGATTCAGAGACAGATGGTCAATGGAGGAACTGTCTTCTTCGTTTTCACTGCCAAATAAGACGATGAGAATGTAATTGTTTGTTATTTCACTTTGGTCTCTGGCCAACGTGTTTTAATGACCACGGTAGTTGTGGGTCACACACATACACACGGCCATTACAGTCATCTTTGAAATTTAAGGACTTCTACACATACACATAGGTAGAGTAATTCATACCTTACTAATATGGAATTAGTAGTCATCAAGACAGGCTTTGAGCTTTACCTGTGCTTTATCTATAAAAATTAGACCTGGCTAACAAAGAGCTTTAATTGAAGTTCAGGGGAGAATGTTAAGCTCCTTAAGAGAAAAGAAAGGTTTTGAAGCACTTCATTTTTATTTTAACCAAATAGATTATATGTTACACATTGCTTTCATGTATTCACTAAAACAGATTTCATAATTTATACTTAGTAAAATATCCAGGCAAAATTTTGACAGCCTAGTTTGCATTAGTATTGACTACCGATAATGGAAACATCATGTTAGTTTAATATGTTCCATAATTTTATCTTTGTGTTCATTTACCTTTCTTCTACATATGAGCGAGATTTGCCTGCGTATCTGCGTTCACATGCCCAGCTTGCTGTGGAGTCATTTCCTATTCCTGAAGGAGACCAAGTTTTCCTGAGAATGGAGCAGTAAAACCCATTCTTATATCAGGGTATGTGATCTCAACAGAGGCTGTGTCTGAGTTGATGCTGAAATTCATGTAGGACTCAGCAGACCTCAAAAATAACTTTTCTAAAATGACGGTCTCCCTGCCAATGTAATCTCAGTTTAACATGCTGAATGCTCAGTCTTTCTGGGTCTTCTCTGAACCTGCTCTGACTTCAGAACTAGTATACATTCCTACAGCCTCTGCCGGCCTGGCCCCATGCTGGTCACTGTTATGCCTAGCTGGATTCTAGTGAGCCTTGAAACCTTCATTAAATCACAAGAGATACATCTTATTCCTTACCTGTAACAGTTCTTCAGGTCTTCAAACATGTCCGGAACTTTGGCCATCTTGACTTCTGCAACAGAGAACACCAGCGACGGTCAGCTCAGCCAGCCTCTAACCCGGATACCTGTGAGGGGAACCCCTCCTCTTTGTGCTTCTTGAAAACTTTGTTGAATGACTTAGTCCACATTCAGCATTTTCTCCATCTGCTAGCTCCTTTGAATTAGTTTGCTATGTACCTGTCTCCTTTATTAGATCATAAACTTCTTTTAGAATGTTTTATTTATGTTGGTATTCCTTATGTGCCCAACCTAATGTATTGCACAGAACAGGCATTCAATCAATGAAAGTTTGAAGAGGTTACAGAAACACCACAAGAATAAGGTGTTTCCCTTACACAGAGGTAAGGGAGAGACAGACTTGGAAATGTTCAATTTTCTCCTAATAATTTTGGGTAGTAGAGATTCCCTCCCATGAGAAGCCTCAGTTGTATTCACCCCATGCCCTCACAGGAAGCTAATTCTGCCATCTCTCAGTAAAACGAATCGGTCCTTATCAGAAAAATGAGAGAATAATTTTCTAAAATCTGACTGTAATTCTAGGTCACATACCAAACCGGGGAGGGACAAGAAAAGAAAGGAGAGGCTGTAGCTTTAGAGAAGGCAATGTGAGAGAAAACAGCCAAAGAGAAAAACAACAACAGAAAATACTTTAATAGCCAGAGATGTGAGGACAATACCTTTGCTGACTCAAACGCCAATGAAATGACTCCCTCTCTGGCTGGCAGCTTAAGCCTGAGTCAGTCTTCTTCGCCTTTTGTAATTGTCTTAAGTAGGCGTGGCTACAAGTACGTCGTCAAAACGGGGAATTTACAGGGAAGAATTTTCAGTTTTGTATTTTTCTACGTTCATTCAACTTGATACTGGCTAAAAGAATGAAAGATGGCATAGCTGATATTATTGTTTGCAGATATTCCAGAAGGTATTGACTTGGTTCCTTTATTCACTGCTTTGCTTTATAAGATGACAAACATGTAGTCTTAGAAAAAGGGAAGTGCAGGAAACTTATCAAGTTTCTAGGAGGAAGGGAGAAATCCTGAAATCAGAAGCCAAGGGGCTAGATTTGGAGAGGAATTCATGAATAATAATAGTTCTAATAGTAGCTGGAGTTGTGTTCTGGCTGAATCTGTTGATTGTGCTCCAGGTTGAATGTGAATTGGCAGAATACTTGGCAGCTTCTGGCAACTTTTGAGGGAAAATGAGCCATCTTTTCTGAAGAGGGAAGTTTGCTTGATTAAGGCATAAATCACTTCAGAGTATGGGGTGACAAGCTCCTGGTTAGGTCAGGGTAGAGAAGAGAAAAGTGATATTTGACCGCAAAGAAGTCTGGAGCCTCTTACTCCTCTGAATATTGTCAACACATTTCCTAGAGAGGGGACAGAGCTTCGGGACAGAACTCTCCACCCTGGCCCTGTTACAGTAAAGTAGCCATCTACCGAGGACCCGAGAGAAGCCTGGTCTGTAGGATACGCCCAAGGTGTGTCTTCTGTAGAAGAAGGTGTGTGCAAGCCCCGGGAGGTATGCCTAAGGCCTCAGCCAGAAGCCAGTGGCTAAATTTGGGAATGGAGATTGGGAGAAAGGAAGGCATGGATTTTTACATCTAAGACTTCAATGGTGTTGCCTGGTTACTATTATTAAAGAATTTCTCGGCTTTTATAATTCCCGTGGCCAGCCTAGTTCAGGTGGCAGAACACCAGACTCTTAGCAAATGGATGTTCCCAGGTGGAGTTTAAGCCATAAATATTTTAAATAAAGGAAATGAACTAGGTGTGGTGGCATGCCCCTGTAGTTCCAGCTGTTCAGGAGGCTGAGGCAGGACAATCACTTGAGGCTCAGAGTTCGAGTCCAGTGTGGGCAACGTAGTGAAGCCCCCATCTCTAAAAAAAAAATAAACAAACAAAGGAAATGGATGGAAGAACAAGGTAGAAGAGAGAGAGAAAAAAAAAGAGGCAAGGCACTAAAACATGGTATAGAAGAGCAAAAAAGTGTGGATCTGGGAGAAAGCAGCTTGTGTGAGTTGGATAAAGTATTCCCTCTGTTCCTGTTTAATTATAAATAATAGGATTGGTTAGATGTCATAAGGTCTATTTCAGGTGCAAAATCTCTTATTCTGATTTAATGCCAGTCTAATTCTCCTGGTCATGTACCTGGTGCTATAATAGTTATAACAAGAGCCACAGAAATAACCACACTTGGATGTAAGCAATGTAAGTGTAGCACCAGACTAGGGTAGAAGCTTGGGTGTCTAAGGATAAATCCTGAAGGAACAGTGATGTCAGCCAACTGGCTACATTTCTGCTTACCTTGGTTCCTCCTTAGGCAACACAGAAATGTTAATCCTGATTACCCCCTCTCCTCCTGAGAATCTTGTGAGGGCTATTGCTAAGGAACAATTGCAAAGCACATTGTGAATGTGAGCTGCTATGGAGATGCAACTAAACAAAAATAATAACAATGCTAATGATGGCTTCAGTCACTCAAGAACCTGTATAGTCACCATTATAATGCCTTAGTTCACCAAAGAAAATATAGTTCTTATGAAAATATTGGCTCGAAAGCTTCAACAGGGATAACATTTTCAGGTGAAGGCCACCATTGAAAGCCTGAAGATATTTAGCTTCTGGGAGCAATGCATACCATCTCTTTGGTAATCCAGGAAAAAACCCTGGTTCCACCCACATAGGCAATACCCATCCTGGTCCCATCCTCACTCCTCTGTTGTAGAGAATTCCCCAAATGTGGTTGTTGAATTTCTCAAGGAGAACTTGGTTGAGAAGCAGCGAACTTGGGTTAGAATATCACCCAACATTTTCCTTCACATGATTGTCTTGTCAATTGATTTTTAAAGGAAAACTAGAGTGGGTGAGGTTCAGAGAGAGGTGGGTCCTTGCATTGTTTTGGGGAGCCTGCTTTTCTGGGACTGTGAACAAAAGTTACCTCTTCTAGGGAAGGGATAGTGGAACATACTGGGCAAGCCTGTGGTGTGTGTGTGTTGGGAGCCATCCTGTGACAGGGACATTGGGTGGCTTCAGGCACTCACCTCTTGACTCTGAGGAGGCCTCAAGAAACCCTTAATGAGTCACTGTCATCTAAATCATTTAGGAAGAAAAAAAATTATTGTGCACTTATTCTATGCCATGGGTTTTGCTAGGAATCAGCAGTTTTTTCCCATGATCCACAAAATCAGATATGCAAGGTGAGATGTTCTATGTTGGTAGGTGACTGGGTATGTTTTATAAGATTGGAGCTTATGAGTCTAAAGAACCATTGTGATGCCTTTCATGTGGCAATTGTTTTCTAGTTTACCTGCACTATCTCGCTGCCTCCTCACTGCACCTACAAGAGTTAGCTGACACTGTCCTCTTTCATAGCTGAGGATCCTTGAATAGGTGAAGTGACCAACCCAAGACCACAAGACTGATGAAACCAGTGCTTGAACTCAAGCTTCTGATTCTGAGTCCAGTCTTCTCTTTCTACTGCATAAAGATGCTGGAGTCTCTTATCACCACCAACACCAAGTGTTGACTGAAAAAGATCATCCTTAGGGTCTTTTCCCCTTGAACATGCTATCATTCAGTAACTCTAGAATCCTTGTTAAAAAAAAAAAACAACAAAAAACAGGGGAGGGGGGAAGGGATTGAAATACCTCCTCTCCCTCTCTTCACCTCCTCTGATGAAATCTGATTGTATTCTGTAATATATAAGACCTGAATGAAGGTGACTGAAGTAATTGGGTACATGGTTAGTGGTGGAATCTGGATGTGAACTTCAGTCATGGTCTTGCCGTTGTTCCATAAAGACAGGAAATATCTGTAAACCTATTTGGAAGCAACTTTAAAATTGTTGCGTGTGGTTGGGTCTGACAGAATCACTTGAATGAAGAGAAAAATGTAACTTTTTCCTGTGAATTTTCAGGGAAATGCAATTATTTCCTTTCACGTGGTATAAAAGCTTTTCAGAGGAATTAAGCATGCATAAGCCAACACATGCAGAGACAATTGAGCCTTTAGTCGCAACTCATGCTCTAGTTATAATGTGTTTTTAAATTCCATTATAGCTACAGTGAAGGAGGAAAGGACTTAACATAACAGCCTACCAGGTTCAAGGGATTATAATACATTATCTCACTTAATCCTCTCATCAGACCTGTGAGGTAGATGTTCTTATCACATCTTACAGAAGAGGAAGTCAAGGTCCAGAGAAATTAAGCAATTTGCCCAAGATTGCAAAGTTACCATGTTTCCTAAATGGGATCCAGACACCAGGGCATATGCTTCTTCAACTATGAGGATGTCTCTCTTCCTTAATGTAGCCGCTTCCTTTCCTGTGTTCTTTTAAATTAAGTTTTAATTATTCTGCTTTATCTTAGTCTGTTGAAGGTCCCAGAATATGTTAGAGAAGGATGCATGTCGGAGACCATCTAGTTTAAATTCTTACTTTTATAAAAGAGGAAACAGGGTACAGGGGAAGTATGGCCCAAGGTCACATGGAGAATTCATGACAGTGGGAGGTAAAATTAAAACTCAATTTGTTGAATTCTAGTTCACAGTATCCTACTACTTAGTGACCCTGGTGTGTCAGTGAAGAGAGAAAAAAAAAGAAGAAATAATCTCTAATGGCTTCTCACCCATAAGTGAAAAAGGAATGGCTGGGCGTGGTGGCTCATGCCTGTAATCCCAGCACTTTGGCAGGCCGAGGTGGGTGGATCGCCTGAGATCAGGAGTTCGAGACTAGCTTGGCTAACATGATGAAACCCCATCTCTACGAAAAATACAAAAAATTAGTTGGGTGTGGTGACAGGCACCTGTAATCCCAGCTACTCGGGAGGCTGAAGCAGGAGAATCACTTGAAGCCAGCAGGCGGAGGTTACGGTGAGCCGAGATCACGCCATAGCACTCCAGCCTAGGCAAGAGTGAGTCTCCATCTCAAAAAACAAACAAACAAACAAACAAACAAAAGTTACAAAGAATGAAACCCTGTTAAGTAAAATCAGCTATGATTCCTGCTATACTGAAAGCTGACAGTGAAGACCTTCATCGATACTTTTCTAAATGAGTAGATAATTATAAACTGAGATAAGTACAGTAAGGGTGTGTGACAGAAGCACATGTCTTAGACTGGGAGTGTACAGTTCAGTGGAGGGCGAAGAGGGAAAATTCCAGGCTGAGATAAGTCCCTGGGGGTCAAAAAGAGTGGAAGTAGGTCATTGAGTCTGGAGCTCAGAGAGAGAAGGGGGAAGGAGTGAGGGATACAGGAGTGGAGGGTGAATTGGTGAGATGAGGATGAGGAGGAACATAGGAGCCAAACAGTCATGGCCTTATGTAGGCTCCGTAAAGCGTTTACTCAAAGTTTAACAGGAAGCCATTAAGAGTAGTATATATTGGTGACACAATCAACTTTGAGCTTTTAAAGGATCACCTTTGTGTTTGTAAACAATTTCTAGATTTTAAAGCAGTAGACAAAGGACAGAGATTATATAGAGAAATGAGAAAGCTTCCACAAAGTGTACGTGGAAACCAGTCTTTCTGCCTTAACTCAAACTGTGTGATGAAGGCAGCAAGTGCTTGGGAACCCAGAGAGTCAAGGGATGGCCATGACTTGGAGGATATGGAGCAATTCATGTGGGCTAAAATCTGAAGTCCATAGCAGGAAGGGACAGCTTCACGTTCAGTCAGCAAATTTCTATTTAGCTGCAATTACCTCTTCACCTTAGCTCATCTGTTCCCTGATGGATGCGGTTTTTTCTGTTTCTAAATTCCCTTTTCCTTTTCTCTGGAGATGGGTGATTGATGTAGTCTGGGTATTTGTTCCCTCCAAATCTCATGTTGAAATGTAATCCCCAGTGTTGGAGGTAGGGCCTGGTGGGAGGTGTTTGGATCATGGGGGCAGATCCATCATGAATAGCTTGGTAGTGTCCTCTCA